GTATTATTATTATTATTATCATTATTATTATTATTAATAATATAACCCTATCAAAAACCTGCATGAATAACATGTGATGTGTGATTTTGCAGATGGAAAACCATGATGGTCACTGGAAAAAGTCCTCAGATTCGTGGCCGACCTCTGCCGATCATTCCACTGTCCCAATGATAAACCAGAGAGAAGGTACATATCATTTTCACTTAAAATAAACTGTTAATAAATAAATTAAAGCAGTGTAAGTCAATGTCCTTTTTATTTTCAGGATCCAGCGAGTCTTCTGCCTCCTCCAGCCTCCTGCGTCTGTCCTCCATTGTGAACAGCATCACCAACGGAGACAAAGTCAACTTCAGCGAGAACGTCTCAGAAAACTGACACATCAGCAAAGACCTCGACTAGACACCACATTTTGGGTTTCCATTATTTATCCCTAAATTATTTCTACTATATTTAGCCATTCTGTTTGTTGTGTAGTCCTCATTTGTACATAAGGAGCAACAAATGTGTACATATTTTATTATAATGTGATGTTTAGATTTATTTATTTTATATTCAGAAGCAGATACTCTTGTACGAAAGCTATTCTATTTAAATATTTGTACATAACTGACCAATACAATAAATTAAACGTTTTGCAATACTTTAAACAACTGTATCTCATTCTTTGAGAGCAGAAATGCCACAATGGTGAAGAAAGAACTCAAAGTAGGAGAATAGTCTTGATACATTCAAGTAAATGGGAGCCATATCCTTTTAATTTTAAGATTTCTTTGTTCAAAAGTAGTTTTTTTCCCAAATGTGTGGTAACATGGGGGAGTTATACATTTTGGGGGAATAATTCCTTATGCTTTTAACCATTGAAATGTCCAAAATCACAATCATAATGACGATAATCACGTTTAAAGTTTTTCCCTTGGCAAAAATGGTGTTGAAACCCCTTTTTAACGAATAATAGGACACTCTACCCCTCACTGTATCTCTGTTTTACACCAAAAGAGAAAGAAAAGCCCATTACCAGTTCAAGGTCTTCCAGTTCCCCCAGCATTCACGGCTATTAAAAGTCCATAAAATCTGCTTAAACTACCCTGCAATATTTTGCTGCCGGGCTGGCTCTCTTTGTTCAGACTGGCCTCCGGCAGCACTGATCCCACAACAGTAACTTGAGTCCCCTCCAAACACAGCGTGTCTCTGCTCTGCTATCAAATGTTGGTACATGGAAATCTGGGCAGCAGGCTCAATGCAAAGCCTGCTGGGATAAAGAAGTTATTTGAGCCTTTGGGTCTTAATTCATCATCACTTGCTTCGTCATCACATGGCAAAGCGTTTACATGCGAGCTATTAAATTGCGTGACACAAAGCTAACGGCATGGGAATCCATTGAGTCTTGTTTGTCGTGTATTGACATGAGAGGCGGGCGTTTGTTGATGATGTCGGGGTGTGCTGGTCTCCCTCAGATCTCTGTGGACGACACAAAGCCCCGGTTGACCTTTGGGACGCTGCCTCATCTCTCAGGCCTGCAAACACACGTGTCCATGTAAAGTGTCACACATGTGTCGTGTTTATCAGACTTCAATGTAAAATCCAACAAGGGGAAATGAAGGCTATTTCAAAGAACGGGGGGAGAGTTCAAACCATACTTAAATGTGAAGGTCATCCCCTTTTCTGTGTTTTTAAAAGTGTTGATTGACTGGTTAAGGATGCCAACATGCTGCACAGAACGCACAGCTGGGAAATGTCTAAAATACACTGTGACACTTCCATGTTTCTTGAGACACGAGATGTGTTTCGACACATTTATTTTATAATTTGAAAATGTATACGTTCCATTTTAAAAGTTTTTCCTATTTATTTTTTTTCATGTACCTTATGTTTGTTTTGTTTTCCTTTTCGAGAGTTATACACTTCTCTTATCCAAGAATCACAAAAAATTATCAGAAAATAAAATAACAATTTAGGGCCATTGTGCCCAATTATTATCTACTTTTCCATTTTTCTTATTCGTGTTGGTACCTTTTTCAAGTAAATAATATAAATGCTTATTCTACAGAGCTCATTAAAAGCTGAAAAACATACATTATTCCTTATGTCTCTTTTCAACACTACTACTCATATCTTTTACCAAACATCCTATAGAGCGACACATAATACCCCTAAATAGTAATGTGATTTTAATGGGCTCCTGCCCACTCACTCAATCTGATAGCAGTATTACTGCACTGCATTTTACTGCTCCATAGGTATCTGCTAATTCAATATCCGTTTATACAGTTGACCTCGACTGTAGACCTAACATCAACAATAAGAAGTGTTTGGTTCAGTGTGTGTACTTTTTACTGCCAAGTACACTACTTTGTTGACTTATTGGACACAAACAAGCTTTTTATGCTATTGAAAATATGTTTTGAACCCTCATATCCTTATGTTTGCTCCCTCAGACTCCACTCCGTCTCCCTCTCCGAATTCCAACGTTCTCTCGTCTAACTTTACAGGCATTTCGGTGTTACTGTACTGATGACACCATATAATTGTCATTTGGCTGTGAAGGCTGTGTTTTAAAAGTCAAAGCTGATGAAAGGCGAGCAGTAATAGGACAGGGGGATAAGCCTTGAGGCTGAAAACTCTGATTTATCCAGGCTTTTCCTTGAATATCCTGCAAGAAAGGATTCCCTGCAGCAGAGCTGGCAGCACGCTTTCTGCTCTCTGCCAAACAAATGCTGTTGCCACTCAAAAAAGTATTTTATTTCACTTATTATTGTGGGGAACGGAAAATTGACTTTTTATGGGTGGGGAAATAGCATTAACAACCACTGAGCTACGACAAGTGTTTTTTTAATTTTTCATGAAACATTTATTAACATAACTGATTTTCCTTGGACTCAGAGTAAATATATTAGTTTTACCATGCAGACAACATTTTAAAACTAATTTCAGCAGCAGTATTTTGGCTGTTAAAGTAAACAATTCAATGTGGGCTTTAATGTCACTGGAGGATTTATTTTTGCAGGAATCCAAGTAATAAATTGCCTTTCTTTCAGGGGGCTACTGTTGCACCAAACAAACAGCATATTACGTCAAAGCATGAGGCCGTTTAGAAGAAATAAGGGTTTCAGACGTGAGGGGAATAGACATAAAGGATCACCTCCTGCCCTTCACTTAACTCTGTCTCTGACCCCTGACAACAACAAAAAAGCAACCTCCGATAGTTCCCAAGAGACCAGCAGTGCGCACAGATCCCAGCACCGGCGATCACTGCGCCAATAACTGCCATGTGCTGCGCCAATCTAACCACAGCCTCAATTATCTATCGTCTGATAGCGGGTTTTCTCCTCGTCCACGTTGTTCTCAGCCTCAGGGGCTTTGATCTTCTCAGCAGCTACACGCCGATGTCTTCTTCAGCTGTGGCTAATCCAAACTCCGACGGCAATTCAGAGGCAGCAGCAGGTACTGGTGTTTTCTTAGGTGCGCGCAGTTCCCAGAGAAGGGGGCTCGCCAAACGTTTTGACACATTGTGAGAAATATCCACATTGTAATCTTGTAAGCTGTCAGCAACATCATTACCTAAAGCAGTCTGCTCGTCAGGGTCGATCTGCAAAAAGAAAAAAAAAACCTTCAGTCTGACAATCTGTTCTCTGAGACAGTCGTTCTGAAAATAGAGATTTCATTTAACTTCACTCCAGAGTCATTATTTAATAGAATCACATGTCAATAGTGAGTGAGTCGGAATCTCAACTGATATGAGAGGTTTAACTCTTTACTGCTCTCAAAATGAAAACCAGCTTCTTTTATGTCATCTGTTTCAGAGCTGTGAAAGCTTATGAATCTCACGTTTAAGTGTAAATTAGCATTTACACATAACGTTCTAAATATACGGTACTCTTCTATGGGTTTAAATTACCAATATTTTAAACATCTTTTTACACATGTGAAGAAAAGTACCTTTAATAAAAGCCTAAAACATCCCAAAAAGCTTTCAATTGCACTGCAGACATGTTAAATATCCAATCATGGTTATTTAAATTCTGTCAAAAAGGGAACAAATTACCGTCAGGCTGAAATGTCTGCACTATAAAAAACATTCCATTCCTTATTTCTTATTAAACCCTCTGTCCCTTACTTGAATAAAACTATTGCACCATAATGGCCATCTGTTGTTCCGAACTGAAGCCCCTGAATTGTGTCAATAACTTTTAATGGCTGAAATTTGGTCCTCTGAGGCGAAATGGTGCAGGGAATTGGGCAGTGGTGTCGATTGTGTAATTACTGTTTTTAATGAGCTTTGGCAAACAGGGATCGCCTCATTCACACAGCACCTCCAGTGATGAGCTGGGGTGTTTAGAGGGGGCTTACCACTGTAATGTGAATTCACAGGGCTTGAAATGTTACACCTTCCTTTGCAGCTGGGCTGCATCTGCAACGCTGTTGTCTCCACCGTAAAAATTGGCCCTGCATACTCCTACAAGTGCTCACCCTCTTTCTCTGCAAAGTTTGACCAAACAAAACACGCTCTTTAAAATGTACGTCTTCATAGCTAAGTGTCACTTTCACCGTCAGCCTTGATGTGAGGCATGGAGGACGGTTATGGATAAATCAAGCAAAAATGAAGCTCTTCACTTAAAGACCATGTGGTGCTTAAAGCTCCTGAAACATTCCCGAGCATTGTGTTCTTCGTGGCCTTGCTGGGCCGGTGGAAGGGGAGAGTGGTGATGAGTAGGAAAACACCATTAAGTGCAGATGTGGGAAACTCTGCAGGGTACTGGGGGGTGCAGGCAGTGGGCTGGGGATGGGGCAGGGAGGGAGCTGAGCTAACCCCAGCCTGCCTTCTGGCTGGGCCATGGTAATTAGATCTGGCCAATGTGGGCCCTTGGCTGTGGCCTGGGGGCATATAAGGGGGGCCCAGGGCAACAGACCCCTCATATCACTCAGAGGTCTCCTCTCTCTCACCCCACTCCTCTACCCTCCTTCCTGCGGTCATCTCCATCCACTCACACTCCTTTCTTCAGCCAGTATGGACGTCTTCTCACCATCCCAGGTCTTCTACGACGAAGCTTCCTCTCCAGACAGCCTGGAGTTTGGCCCCGGCATGGAGCTGGACGGCTCTGAGGAGGATGAGCATGTGAGGATCCCCGGGGCCCCTCACCAGCCGGGACACTGCCTGCAGTGGGCCTGCAAGGCCTGCAAGCGCAAGTCCAACTTTGTGGACCGCAGACGAGCGGCCACCATGCGAGAGCGCCGGCGGCTGAAGAAGGTCAACCACGCTTTTGAGGCTTTGAGGCGCTGCACCTCGGCCAACCCCAGCCAGCGCCTGCCCAAGGTGGAGATCCTGCGTAACGCCATCCACTACATCGAGAGCCTGCAGGAGCTGCTACACGAGCAGGTGGAAAACTACTACGGCCTACCTGGGGGGAGCAGCTCGGAGCCCGGGAGCCCGCTGTCCAGCTGCTCTGACGGCATGGTAAGAACCACATGTTCAGCTTCTTCTTACAAACATCTGGAAGTGCAGAGTCTCGGCTTTGAAACCAATCCAATGTCTGGCAGGGAAATACATATCCACAACTGCATGCAAGACAGAACTTTATCTTGTAGAAACTTCACCTGAAAAGCTTGTTATTGATGGCCAAAGAGTCTTATGTTTAAGCCATGTTGCCATTTTTCATTACCATGTAGAGTATTTCATTTCCAAAAAAGGCCTGGATTTCCAATTCAGAATCCTATTAATCAAACAAGCTTGTTTTGCCCCAAGACCTCAATTACCATGCTTCTTCATGCATGTCATACTCCCCTATAATTATTTAATATACAAATCTGCAGTCTTACAAGCTATCTCTACTTGTTATTAAAGGTCAGGTTGAATTAGTTGTTCTTTCCGACAGTCTGAAGGTGACAGCGTATCAGTTAATATAAAATAACTTATCAAGCTGGATGGAGTAATGGCTTTCCCACCACCGGACACTTTATGGCCCTAATAAACCGAGCTAAATCCACCTTACTGAAGTCTGGCAGAAAAAACCTGGGCGCTTTTCTGCATTCCATCCTGACTGCATGTTCTGCACCGCTGCCAGGATTTTCTGCAGATTTACTAGGAGAAAGTGTCATCTTGCACAAACTGGTGTTGCTTCCACTGATACAATCGATTCGGCACGCTCAGAGCTGCTCAGGGGAAGGAGTCATACTGCCACTTCGGCTTTAAGGTGGAAGTGAAATAAAGAAGCCCATAACTTTGGAATTCAGGATTTATTAGCCTGTCTAGAATATTGTGAAGGGCATTGGTTGTCTTTGCAGATTTTCGCACTTCTTTCTTTTCCATATATACTCCCTATATATATTTAAGAAAACATAACGCATAATTTCTTTTTGCAACAATAACTCAAGGGTATATTCCTCGTTTCTTTACAGGCTGACAGCAACAGTCCACTGTGGCAGCATCTGAATGCAAACTACAGCAACAGCTATTCGTATGCAAAGCACGGTAAGACCTTTTGACTCGCACAGCCTCCTGAAATGAATACGACATGAAATCTTGAAAGCATAGTGCCTTAAAGACCTGATTCCTGAATGCTAGATTATTACTATTATTATTACTTATTTATTTATTAGTTTTCAATTCAGTTTCAGCCTCATTATACATGTTCACACTTTGGTCTATGTTTCCTTTTCATTCTAATTTCTGCTGTATAAGACATACAAAGAAAGGAAAACATAAAAAGAAAATGTAAATAAATAAATGAGTGAAAATACAATTAAAATATATAAAAATAAATAAGGAAGGGGATAGGTAGATTATTTAGAAAACATGTTTTACTTTGCGTAAAGCACCAGGGTTTAAGTATACTATAAAATACACAAAAAAATGATAGAACTTATAAATCAAAAACATGTTTTGGGTTTGTTTTTTAAAACGTGTGTCCTCTGTTTTCCTCTTAACAGACAGTTTAGGCGATAAATCAGCCGGGGCCTCCAGTCTGGCGTGTCTCTCCAGCATCGTGGACCGCCTGTCCTCCGTGGGGTCCGGCTGTGGCCCCGTGGCGCAGAGAGACGTGCAGAGAGACGTTCAGAGAGACGGACAGAGAGAAATGCAGAGAGACGTGCAGAGAGACGGGCAGAGAGACGGGCAGAGAGACGGGCAGAGAGACGGGCAGAGAGACGGGCAGAGAGACCTGCAGAGAGACGGGCAGAGAGACCTGCAGAGAGACGTCTCCTCCACCTTCTCTCCGGGCAGCTCCGACTCGCAGCCCTGCACGCCGGAGAGCCCCGGGTCCAGGCCCGTGTACCACGTCCTGTGAAGAAAACTCTGACGTGGATATATTGCCACAGGCTTTCCCCAAACACTAGCTGCATTTGAAACAATAGATAAGAACTTTTGTTCTGTGCAAATCTGAAGGACACTCAGCTGAACCTGAAGACCTGCGGCAAGCAGCTTTTATTTGTACATGAGATTGTAAATATGTATTGTAAATGCCCATTTAATCTATACATGCTATTATACCCAGTGACACATATTTAATTATGACAGTTAATGTAATGTTGTATTATTCCAACATGAAGTGGTATTTAAGCAATTTTAATGTCTTTCTTTCCATGTTGTCGTGAACATTAAATCTTTCTACTGTTTTGTATAAACCTTTGTGCGATTTGCATTTTTTAAATTCCTCTTCTTCTGTTTCTTTGTAACAATTATCAGAATCAGAAACAGAAACAGGCTTATTGCCAGGTAGGTTCACACATATGAGGAATTTGACTTGATGTCATGGTGCATACATAAAATATAAAACAAGAAATCTTTAAGGACACCGTAATAAAATATAGTTAAATAGCAATACAATAAAGCAGTAATTTACATGGAAATAGAGTGCACTGAATGAATTATAGGATATGAAACAAGAAATATGTGCAATAAGCAGTATGAACATTGTGTGCATTCATGTAATGCATATAGAGACTAAGGAGTGAGGAAATATGTTCACTTCGGTTTGTTTTGTTTGCGTTAATGCATGTGAAGACACCATACGCATTAAAAACCCAATCATTAACACCCACAACTGGTGACTACCACTGTGGAGTAGATTGTTTTTAATGAAATTACACAATGGAAACACATTATCTAATAATTATAGAAGTTTCCATAATTATTGCACTAATTACTAATAGTGTAGTGGGCCAAAACAGTTTAAAGATGCATTATCTGCTTTCAAAACAATAGCTTAATTATTCATTAGCAGATTCTAGAGCCAAAAACGGTCTCTTTTAATATAAAATGTCAAGTTCTCCATGTGACGGGTCCAGTTCACAAGGTGTGGAGATCACAAAGTAACTGGTAGAAGTTATACTATGGCAGCAAGGATTTAAACAAAACATACAAACAATGTATGAAAACAAATGCAGTTTCAAAGTGTAAAACACACTCGTCTTCTTCACATTTTACCATCTCTCTGTACTTGTTACTGCTGGGAGTGTGTTTAGGGGGAGGAAACACTTTGTGTACCTGTTTGTTCTTTCCTTCCAAATGCAAGTCATCATTAACACCTTAGATTATACCATCAACACCAGAGTAAGGAGCAAATGGCCTCTAAGTAGTTGAGGGGGAGAGTGTGTGTCACACTGCATCATGACTTTGACCATGCCGTAAGTAAGCATTGTTATATTTTTTACACAGCCTGTGAAATGCAATATAGTTGTTCAAACTTTCCACAGAAAACCAATATTTGTTGCATTTGTTTTTATTAGATTCTGTACTCCCTTAATCAAATGTCCTCTTTTATAATGTCTTGCTTGCTCCAATGTGCTCTGTCTTTTTTATTACAAATACGTAGAAATGATCTACTTAAACCTCTCTTATAGCAGCTTGTCATAGTTCTGCTCTGCTTTGAACATGAGTCTTCAAACATGAGTCTGAAATCATTTCCATTCAAAAACAACAAATACAGATTACATTTGTTCCACATTAACATCCATCTATTGAACAACACTTTGTTATTATTCCAGCGGAGATGAGTTCAGAGTAACTCTGCTCAGAGTCTCTGTGCTTCAGTTCTGTGAAACATTGTGAACATTCCTTCAGCGGCTTGTATTTCAGCCCACATCACGGCTGCGTACGACCCTCCAAATGTCACTGATGTAATTTTCCATGGCTACAACTCTGGTTGTGATTCATGAATCGCTCACTCACTAAGCCTATAGAATAGACTGTCACCAGAAAAACAAAGCACGAGTTTCCATGAAGGTTAAACATGGAATCAGGAAGAATGTAATATACAGAAAGACATTTTTGATCTGATTTTCATAATTTAATAAACTGGATTTGTAGCTTGAGTCAGAACGGACACAAATGAATACACTGACTCTTGGACAGCATGACTCAAAAGGCAGCACAGTCATGCCTGTAGTACTCAGTAAGACCACAAGGGGGAAGTGTTTTCTGTATTTCATACAATAACACCTATTAAAGCTCTGTGATCAAATGCAATGTAATCAATGCAACGAAGTACAGATTTAAAGCATGAGGTGACTATAGTCTCTAAAAGATAACTCTTGACTGTATTTATTAATTCATCTCCTCATATTTGAAGGGAATGTTCATCTTATAATGAATATTTAACTGCGCTCTTTAGAGAATTGAATCTGCCCTCGGGCAAAATCTGTGATGTTCATCTGAGTAAAGGCATGAAAAGATAGAAAAGGAGATGCTATAATGTAGTAAAACTTCTGAAGTGTTACCACCCAAAATCTCTATTGAATCTCATATATTGATGCTTTTACGGCTTTGAGTGTTGATTCATTTGGCTTGAGGCATTTTGAGCGTTTAATCCATACAGGTGGGAAAAGGATTTTGTTTTGCTTCTTGACTTCCTGTGTGAACTTAGCCAACGTCAGCCAATGTGTTAGAGTGCAGGAAGGTCAAAGGTCAGTAAACAGCATGACTGTTGTGGAAATAACATTACAACATACTTTTGACTTTGGGACCGTCCTATCATTCCCAATAGTGAGGTAGAACTGTTGAAATGCCAATATTTGGTTTTGCAAATTAATCTTCGTCCTCCCATTGTGTTCAAATAATTTTTTTCCCCTTTTTAACCACACAAGCCCTCTCGTTTGATTAAATATGCCATATTTTTTTTCTCCTAAATTGATTAGCCTTAAACAAAAGAAAATGCACATTTTCTTTCTCAAGGAATACTTATGGGCAAGAAATTCCTACATTTGTCCATATTTTAACCATGTAGATATTTTTTTCCCAACCTTTTGAGGAGTTTAAATAGTGTTGTCATGTCAAGAGCCAAGAAGAAATTATTAAAGTGTAGTCTGAGAGGAATGGCTGGCTGTTAGTGCCTTGGAAAAGTTGGAAGTGTTAACAACACACAATTTCTCTGCGATATTTCCGAGTGTATTTTAAGCATTACAAAGAAGGCGGGTCAAAACTATGTTCACACCATTTATATCTTTGAAAGTGTTACTTACTGCACAGATGCAGCCGGTTATATGAATATTTCTCATCATTTGTGGTTTAACTCCAGTATCTCTGAACAGAACCTTTCCTTATGATAAGAAATAAGAATTTAAGTTGTGGTAATGTGATCCTGAGAGGGTGTTACATTCAGCCTCTTTGCTGCAGATTAACAGCCATGGTCTCTAGTGAGGGATTTGTCACCTGCATTAAAGTCTTGAGTTGTGTCACTTCAGGCTTTGGTGGTCACTTGCTGTAGAATTGTTTGCTTGAGAAAAGCTCTAATAGTGATTTTATTGCACATAACACTGTGTAGCGACACTTTGCCAGGGAAGAAACAGCTCTTCTTTGTGCTTCTACTGTCACTGTTTGACTTTAATGCCTCCCATTTACAAGAGTCTCTTTATTAGTTTCACTGTCTACTCTTTGTAGTGAGCTAACAAAAGGCCATTGACTTTCTGTTCCAGGGCTACAAACCTGGAGGAGTCTTCAGAGGGACATTTCAGAGCCCCACGTTTAGCCACTTCACCGATAGCAGCGGCACTAGAAGGCAATCACAGACAAGCATTTGGTTGTGGTCACCACAAATAAACACCCCAACAATTATTTTGACAAATTAGTAACTTAATAATGCTTCATGCTTCTACATTTATGCCAATATATGGGGCTTGGAGTTCAGACATCTGGCAATTAAAGACAGGAGAGTGAGGTTTTTATGGGAAGATTGCAGACTTTTTTCCAAATTTGACGACTATTAGCTTTTAGAACGTGAAACTAAAATTGCAAGCAAGTATGCAGAATATTAACAGTAGTCATTTTAAGCAGTTTAATGCAAAATCAAAGTAACTAAATACTATAGGGCTGTGCAATTAATCGTATTTTAATCGCAATTACGATTTTGGCCTGCCACAATTACGAAAACAACATAATCGAAAAAAACAATTATTTAGCTTTGCTAGGTTGTGACATATTTCATCCAATTAATTTTGGTCTAATTGATTTGTATTTATCATATTTATATATATTTAGTAGCTTGTTGAAGTGCGCTCCAAAATATGTGTTGATCTTGTTTATTGGCATTAATTATTTTTGATATTATATATTTAAAAGTAAATATAAATGTATCATTTATTTAATTAATTTTTGTATTGGTTTTTCAGTTGAATTATACGTTCAGGGTAATCAACAGTTAAAAAATACTGTTCAAATGATTATTTGTATTTGTTTTAAAGTTCAATAAATTGATGTTTTCAAAGTCAATGAATAATCGTATTTAATAATCGTGATATCAATTATTGACCCAAATAATCGTGATTATGATTTTTGCAATAATCAAACAGCCCTATTACTGTATGTACTTGCAATTGCACCTGCACATAGCCATAAGACATGCACATATTTTATTCATAATTATCCTCACTTATATGTATTTATGTAAATTACTCAGTGATTCCCCGTATCTTATGTTGGTATTTTTGTTCATACTACTTTTTTTAAAATTCGTATTATCCGTACGTGAACTCTTATCTGTACTATCCCAGGTTTCACTCTTAAATGCTGCTACGACACCTGTGTTTCCCTACAGGGATTAATAAAGGTTTATCGCATCTTGTCTAACTTAATGATACCATTAAGATGTAGTATGTGACATGAATAAAGGCTCGACGAAGAATTCACTGTACACAAGCACATAGATTTATTTATACAAATATAGTATGTATAACAATTGCATATCAACAGTTGGTTGTCTTTTTTTATCTTTACGTACAGTACAGGACCATCAGCTTCAAAAATGTAAGTCAATTAAGAAAGAGTACCAGTGATCTACGATAGAAAAAGGTGTCTGTTGTATGAAGATGTTAATAATGAGTGAATGTCCTATAAAACCTGAACCCAGAGGTCACCTAATACAATAACGTTGGCATTAGGTGACCTTTGTGTTGACAGGTTATATAGGAGATATCAATGTGGCAGATATTATGCATGTAGAATGGTTTTGCTCTGCTGGAATTGTGCAATTAGATAAATTATAGAAAATATTAAAGATGAAAATAGTCACTTTCTTTCAATAACAATCAGCTAAATGTTCAACAAATTCAAATT